CTGAAGCCTATGGTTCCAAAGACCAGAGCTCTAGCTGATTGGCCATCAGGCCTCAGTGAAAGTTTTGGTGAATATAAAAAATAATATTATTTTCTAATCATGTTGTTTTCGAAAACACCATTTCAATCTTTTTTCGAATTTTATATCAAAACAAATTAAAGTGATTGAAATACGAATTATTAACGCGTGCAAAAAGCAGAAACTGAACTAAAATAATATATTTTGATGTTTTGAAAAATTGTAATTCACTTTTGTTCTGTAACTATATAATCAATTCTGTATTTTCTGTCGTGGTTGATTACGTTTAGTCTACATGGTTGATTACATAGCTGATTATATTTTGAGAGGTTTTTTTGTTTTTGTTTTATTCCATAAATATAGATGCATTTATTTTAGAAAATACATTTCAGAAAGAAACAAATTTGAAACCATATTATCTTATTAAATGCTAATGGAAAAGGTTATTGGAAGAAATGACCCTAGTGGTATAAAGTCTGTTTATTCCTGGAAACATAAAAATTATAACATTTTAAATTCAAACAAGTAATATAAAATTTTTTTTTTTAACGTATCAATTCCTACTTTTTTTTTCACTCCATTGCAGAAAGTCCTTTATAAATAATTTTCATTTATTTTTTTAACTTTATCTGGCGTCATCAATTGGTAGATATATGCAACTTAAATGTAAAAAAAACTAAAATGAATTAATTAAATTTAATTACTGAATTAATATTCGAAAAACTGTATTAACATCCAGTGTCATCCACTACAAGTTAAAAAAAAATGTATTAGAACTTGAGTGGATGAATAAGAAGTATTTTATGAGCAATTGAAAATTTGAACAAGATATATATATTGAGAGTGTGAGCTAATAGAAGGAATTGAAAAAATACGGAAAAATCCTTTTTAGTGGTTTTTAATTATCTAAAGATCTATTTGTTTTGGTTCATCAAAGCCAATTTAATGTCAAGAATTAATTATAAATGAAATTACAGCTCTTGAAATTCTGATTTATCCTTTTATGTACAAATAAAATGTTTCCAGACTGATACTTCCTGCCTGCTGCCCTTTTGATACTTCGCTCTGAGTGTTATTAATGGTTGAGCTTATTGCCCCCCAAAGTTATTATACACTGAAGTGACAAAAGTCATGGGATAGCAATATGCAAATTTTCAGATGGCAGTAGCATCGCGTAGAACAGGTATAAATGCGCAGTGCTTTCGCAGAGTTTTCATTTCTGTTCAAGTTATTCATGTGAAGAGGTTTTGATGTGATGATGACCGCACGACGGAAATTAACAGACTTTGAACGCGGAATGTTAGTTGGATCTAGACGCATAGGTCATGCCATTTCGGAAATCGTTAGGGAATTCAACATTCCCAGATCCACTGTGTCAAGAGTGTGCCGAGAGTATGAAATTTCAGGCATAACATCCCACCATGGACAGCGCAGTGGTCGACCGCCTGCACTTAACGACCGAGACCGGCGACGTCTGCAAAGAGTCGTAAATTCTAACAGACAAGCAACACTGCGTCAAATAACCGCAGAAATCAATGTGGGACGTACAAGGGACTTGTCTGTTAGAACTGTGCGGAGAAATTTGGCTTTCTTGGGCTATTCCAGAAGAAGACCGACTCGAGTGCCTTTACTGACAGAACGACATCGCTTACAGCGACTCTCGTGGGCACGTGAGCATATCGGTTGGTCCCTAGATGAATGGAAAACCGTGGCCTGGTCCGATGAGTCACGATTTCAGTTGGTAAGAGCTGATGGTAGGGTTCGATTGTAGCGCAGACCCCACGAAGCCATGGACCCAAACTGCCAGCAAGGCACTGTTCAAGCTGGTGGTGGCTCCGTAATGGTGTGGGCTGTTTTTTCATGGCATGGTCTTGGTCCTCTGTTGCGACTGGACCGAACATTGACTGGAAATGCTTATGTTCAGCTACTTGGAGATCACTTGCAGCCATTCATGGACTTCATGTACCCAAACAACGATGGGATTTTTATGGATGACAATGCGCCATGTCACCGGGCCACAACTGTTCGCGATTGGTTTGAAGAACATTCTGGACAATTCCAACGAATGATCTGGCCACCTAGATCGCCCGACATGAATCCCATCGAGCATTTATGGGACATCATCGAGAGGTCTGTTCGTGCCCAAAATCCTGCACCATCAACGCTTTCACAATTATGGACGTCTATCGAGACAGCATGGCTCAATATTCCTGCAGAAGACTTCCAACGACTTGTTGAGTCCATGCCACGTCGAGTTGCTGCACTTCGCCAGGCGAAAGGAGGGCCGACACGATATTAAGAGGTATCCCATGACTTTTGTCACTTCAGTGTACATTCTGCACTCGCGATTGATATTGTTATTATATATGTATGATTTTCATTCGCGATTTCTAGTTTGCTAGCAATTAATATGGAAAAAAATATAGAATTAAAATTTTTTATTTTCTGTAGGAAAGCAATACTTAACCTGTTAGTCCTACAATATATATATATATATGTTTTGTTCCAATGCAGCTGGCAAAAACTTAGACAGCTTGGTCTTGGATGCCTTAAGGCAAGTGCTGCACAGACGTTACTCAGGCGGCGCGTGTAACTTGAAGATACGGACGCGGAGTAACAATGCCCCCGCAACGCTCTACGATCCTATTAGGACCGGGACCTACGGTTTAAAGTGGATTCCGAACCACTACAAACAGCCATGGCACCACCGGGACTCGAACCCAAAACCTGTGGTACCGAGCACCACAGCACTAGCCACTCATCCATTCAGGCCCAGTCCTATAATATTCTTGGATTAAAAATAATTTTGTTTTAATTATTGAAACATTCCTTAGAAAAAAAAAAAGAAAATTGGAGCTTTCATATCTCATAATATTTTTTGAAAATAATTGGGCAATTTATAGTTTATGTCACATCTACGTTCTACATTAAAATCTATGCTATATCTACTACTCCACAACTTATCTTTAGCTGCATTTCAGGCAAAATATTTATAACTGCTATATTATTATTATTACATATTTCTTATCCCACTTGGTAGACAGCAACATTTAGACTATGTCCAAGAACCCGTGTGGACTCATGGAGGGAGGGAAAGGGGGGCAGCTTCTGATGTGATGGAGCACTCGTAGGTAGAAGTCTGACTTGGCTCCATGACGCTGAAAAAAGATAGCGGTGCTTTCCGGGAGAACTTTTAGGGATAACGACCTCGCATTTCCTTATCATATGAGAGAAAACAAGGAAAATCCCCATCAGATAGTCGGACTCACGGGGCATGATGCTGAACATCACAAACGCTATCAAGTCTCCTCGTTTTTTGAAACAGTGCCTACAACAAAGCTCCCAGAGTATTGAGCAGTTTTGCTCAATGCTCACCAGCGGTACGCGTTGCCATTGAGCCGCGAGTCAGGCAATATTATATATACATAGCACTTATACTTATGTATAAAAAGACGTTTTGTTTCTGTTATATATTGAACAGATATAGAAGTATCAAAACTTTGAATAAATTCAAAAAATGCATTTCAACAACTATAGCTTTCTATAAAAACAGTATTATACTTTCGCCAACATATTCTAGGGCATTTTGAAAGAACTAATTTCAGTATTAAGAATTTCTACTGCTTTTGAATTACTCTTGTATAAAATATAAGAGATTACTTAATGAAATAAAACAGAAAACTTGATTTAATGAAGAAATGCATAAAAAAAGAACATTCTCATCTGAATAATTGATTCCTTTTTTCAATTTGGTGGATGCAGAATAACCACTATAAACATCCATGGCACTGCCGGGTCTCGAACCCGAAAGCTGTAGTATCAAGTGACAGAGCGCTAGTCACTCGGCCATTAGGCCCCGATAAACAGCCGTCCGTAGAAATAAGACTGAGGTAAGCAAATCTCCATATGATATTTCTTGTTTTTAATAAGCAAATCTGCAGTCTTTACATTAGGGAAGCATACAGCCCGCGGGCCGTACGAGACCCATCGTTACTTTTCTATTTACTCGTTTCATTAAAACTGGTGGGCGGAAAAGTTCGTAGGCTGACACATAGATGGCGCTATTAGTATTAAATCCAGATGATTTGTTAGCCCTAACCTTCAAAAGACACGTGTATAAATTTGACAGCTGTTGCACTATTAGTATGCGAGTTACAGCATTTTTAACGAAGCAACTTTTGTTAGTTTGAAAAAAATGGATAAAAAGGAATTTCGTGTGTTTAATAAAGCATTGCTTTTTGGCGAAAAAAAAATACTATTGAAGCCAAAGCTTGTTTGATAAACATTATTCGGACTTTGCACCAGGAAAATCAACCGTAGAGAAGTGGTTTGCTAAATTTAAACGAGGCGAAATGAGCACCGAGGACGATGCACGCAGTGGACGCCCCAAAGAGGCTGTTACCGACGAAAACCTCAAAATAGTCCACAAAATAATTTCTGATAACCGTAAAGTGATGTTGATTGAGATAGCTGAGACCTTAAAGATATCAAAGAAACGTGTCGGACATATCGTGAATGAATATTTGGATATGCGAAAGCTCTGTTCAAAGTGGGTGCCGCGCGAGCTCACAATCGACCCAAAACAACAACGAATTGCTGATTCTAAGCAGTGTTTGGAGCTGTTCAATCGTAATAAACCCGAATGTTTGCGTCGATATGTGACAATGGATGAAACATGGCTCCATCATTTCACACCGGAGTCCAATCGACAGTCAGCCGAGTGGACTGCACGTGATGACCAATAAAAATGCTATATCTCACATACTAATAGTGCAACAGCTGTCAAATTTATACACATGTCTTTTGAAGGTTAAGGGTAACTAAAAATCTTGTGGATTTAATACTAGTAGCGCCATCTATGTGTAGCCTACGAACATTTCAGTCCACCTGTCGTGATGGGTAGCTTTTTTGGAAATATGTATAAGTCTATGATGGAAGATAAAATCGGGAAACATGATTCAGCATTTATATATCAGAAAGGGGTTCCGGTTCTCGTTAGATCACCGAAGTTAAGCATCATTGGGCGCGGTCAGTACTTGGGTGGGTGACCACCTGGGAACACCGCGTGCCGTTGGCAAATTTGGGACCTGAATGGCCGAGTGTCTAGCGCTCTGGCGCTCGGTGCCACAGGTTTCGGGTTCGAATCCCGGCGGTGCCATGGATGTTTGTAGTGGTTCGGAATCCACTTTAAGCCGTAGGTCCCGGTCTTCTATGACTGTAAGAGCGTCATGGAGCAAAAGTCAGTCTTCTACCTACGGGTGCTCCATCACAACAGAAGCTGCTTCCTTCCCCTTCAATCATGAGTCCATATGGGCTTGTGGGCTTGGCCAGCCAAGTGGGATAAGAAACAACAACAACAACAACAAGATATATCAGAAAACTTTTTTTATTACCTTTTTTCTTCTAATTTATTGCCAGTTAGGAGTACAAACGATATCTTAGTGTCAATAACAGGATTATCTCTTACATAATCCTATTTATGTAATTTTCTTTTATTTTAACGGTATATATACCCAAAAAGATTGTCAGTTTAGAATTACAACAAGCATAATTGAGTATGTTGTTAGATAATACATTACAGTGCATGACTGTTTTATACACATATATTTCTTAAGCATGAATATGGAAAAAAAAATCGATAAATGAAACTTATTTGACTTATCACTTTTATGCTTGTTTGTTACAAAAATTTAATCCAGTATATAAACATTAAATAACATTAATTGTCATTAAGGCTAGTCATTAATTAACATTAATGTTTAATTGTCATTTAAACATTAATCCCATAATAAAACATGTAATATCATGCATAATAATTTTTTTACTGTGTAATATGCAGGTGATTATCAAAAAGATGGAAACATGTAATCTATGTTACCATTAAAATGTAATCTTAGTTACCATTTTTTTGATGTAAAAAGTATATAGCATGATAGCATGAAGTAACTTTAGGGAAGTTGTATATATTTTGGATTCTGGTCAAAAGCGCAAAATGTCAGACCTCACAGACTTTCAATGATGGCAAATTTTAGTAGCGAGAATGGCTAGAGCAACTGTGACCGAAACATCCCAGCTTTTAGTCGTTTTTAGAGGTACAGTGTCTAAAGTCATGACAGCGTACACACAGAGCGGCAAGACAAGCTCGATAAAGCAAAAGAGTGGACGGAAAGAGAAGCTCAGTGAAAGAGACCAACGGGTATTGAAGCGGATTGTGATGTCTGAAAAGAAAACAACTGCATCCAACGTAACCACTGAACTCACTCAATGTCAATAATTACAGTTAGGAGGCACTTTCATAAACATGGCATTTACGATAGAGTAGCCATTCCCAAGCCATTTGTCGTATCTGCTAATGCAAACGTCATCTAAAGTGGTGCCATAACCGCAAAACCTGGTCGATTGATAAGAGAAAGACAGTTATAGGGTCAGACGAATCATCTTTCACAATTTTCCCCTCAACAGGACGGTTGCACATTTGGAGGACACCTGTACAAACAAATGATAGTGATTGTCTCCTTCCAGCTGTCAAGCATGGAGATGGATCTGTCATAGTATGGGCAGTCATGTCATGGTTTTCTATTGGCCCAATAATATCCCGAAAGAAAGAATCATTGGGGAGAAGTATAGAGAAAGTTTAGCTGACTAGTTCCATTCTATGATACAAACTATGTTTCCTGCAGGAAATGGAATTTTCTAGGATGATAATGCTCCCTATCATGGTTTGATGAACGCGAAGATGAAGTGAAACTCCTACCTTGACTCACACAGTCTCCCCACCTCAATATTACCGGAATCGATATCCACCACCGGCATCTCTCCCAGAACTATCCCAATATCTTCATGAAGAAATTTAATATTCCTCTAAACACTATTCAGCACTTCTATGATGCATTCCCGGGCGAATTCAAGCTGTATTACATGCCAAAGGCGGTTCTAAGCTATATTAGGAAGAGATTCCTGATAACTTTAGGGTATTTCCATTATTTTGATAGCCACCTGTATATAAGAACACAAAAACCAAATGGTTAGTTAGTCGCTCTACGATCATTTTGTGATAATTAGACCTAGACCTACACTTTAACAGGGATTCCGAACCACTAAAAAACATCCATGCCACTCCAGGATTCGAACCTGAAGCTTGTGATATCAAAGACCAGAGCGCTGACCTTAACCATCAAGCCGCCAAAAAGAACAAAGGTTCTGGTTAGCCGCTCTACTGTCATCTTATGCATACGAGTGCTAAACAGACCGAGACCTACAGTTTAAAGTGTTTTCAAGTGTAAAGTTTTTTAAACCACTATAAGCATCCATGCCACCTCCGGGACTCGAACCTGAAACCTGCGGTACATCAGGCTCTAAAAAAAGAGTATTGACAAAAAGGTAATTAGAAACATGACCGTTTTGCAAGAGAAAAGCTATTGCCTGTATTCGCTAACGCAAAACTTTGCTATACTCTCTCTCTCTGTGTGTGTACATTATATATATATATATATAAAGATAGAGAATAAAAAAATTAAATTTCATTTATTCTCTTAAGAAGAGAAAAATGAAAAACATTAAATAATTTTCGTTTTCTTTTGTCACACGGTTTTTTACCATAGACTAATAATTACTACTCGATTATAATTATGTACAATAATTAACTAATAGTTATTACTCTATGGTCTTCAAAAGTCTCTGTACAACTTGTGAATTTTTATACACTGATAAATTCTTATAAACCGATTCTTTTGCTAGTGTATGGAATACAGGGAAGATTGCCACACCAACAAAGTTTATTTTTCCTTATAATATGATAAATAAAATTATATTGATGCAGAGTATCTTAATTAAGTTCTCATTTATTTATCTTATTTTTCTTCAACTCAAAGCACAGAAACGTTTTGCTATCAGTTTCATCATGTTGTAGGTGCACGTTTATTGCAAACAGTACGGTGATTCATCACTGAGAAAACACCTGCGTTTTTCCAATACATACGCTTCGAACAGGTACTCTATTATTGTACGAAAGCAATTTGTTTCGCGATTATTGATTTTATAAAACGCTTATATATCTGATTTTTACGACATTCACGCTGTGCTAGGATACCGAGTGTAATATGGGAATGCGAGATATAGGAAGGTTATATAAAATTTAATGCATTTAGATAAACTTCATTAAGGAAAATATAAATTTTTTGAAGATAAGCTGAAACTATTCAGAAATTAAAAATCAATAAAATACACAATTTTTTTTATCTGTAAATCCTAAAAATATTAATCAATTTATGTAAAAAGAAAACTTTTAATAAATTAGTTTGTTTTTAGTTTTTTTGTATTTGTTTTCAAAGTTTGTTCTTCGTTTTTAAAATCGTTTGTTCTTTGTTTTTAAATCGTTTGTTCTTTGTTTTTAAATCGTTTGTTCTTTGTTTTTAAATCGTTTGTTCTTTGTTTTTAAATCGTTTGTTCTTTGTTTTTAAATCGTTTGTTCTTTTGTTTTTAAATCGTTTGTTCTTTTGTTTTTAAATCGTTTGTTCTTTGTTTTTAAATCGTTTGTTCTTTGTTTTTAAATCGTTTGTTCTTTGTTTTTAAATCGTTTGTTCTTTTTGTTTTTAAATCGTTTGTTCTTTGTTTTTAAATCGTTTGTTCTTTGTTTTTAAATCGTTTGCTCTTTTATTCTAAATTAGTTTGTTCTTTTATTCTAAATTAGTTTGTTCTTTTATTCTAAATTAGTTTGTTCTTTTATTCTAAATTAGTTGGTTCTTTGTATTCTAAATTAGTTTGTTCTTGGTATTCTAAATTAGTTTTGTTCTTGGTTTGTTTTTTAAATGAGTTTGTTTTTGCTTGTTTTTTTAAATGAGTTTGTTTTCACTTGTTTTTTTAAATGAGTTTGTTTTCACTTGTTTTTTTAAATGAGTTTGTTTTCACTTGTTTTTTTAAATGAGTTTGTTTTCACTTGTTTTTAAATGAGTTTGTTTTCACTTGTTTTTTTAAATGAGTTTGTTTTCACTTGTTTTTTTAAATGAGTTTGTTTTCACTTGTTTTTAAATGAGTTTGTTTTCACTTGTTTTTAAATGAGTTTGTTTTCACTTGTTTTTTAAATGAGTTTGTTTTCACTTGTTTTTTTAAATGAGTTTGTTTTCACTTGTTTTTTAAATGAGTTTGTTTTCACTTGTTTTTTAAATGAGTTTGTTTTCACTTGTTTTTTTAAATGAGTTTGTTTTTGCTTGTTTTTTTAAATTAGTTTGTTCTTTGTTTTTTAAATTAGTTTATTCTTTGTTTTTTAAATTAATATGTATTTTGTTTATTTTTAAAATTAGTTTATTCTTTATTTGTTTTTAAAATTAGTTTGTTCTTTGTTTGTTTTTAAAGTTTGTTCTTTGTTTGTTTTTAAAGTTTGTTCTTTGTTTGTTTTTAAAGTTTGTTCTTTGTTTGTTTTTAAAGTTTGTTCTTTGTTTGTTTTTAAAAGTTTGTTCTTTGTTTGTTTTTAAAGTTTGTTCTTTGTTTGTTTTTAAAGTTTGTTCTTTGTTTGTTTTTAAAGTTTGTTCTTTTGTTTGTTTTTAAAGTTTGTTCTTTGTTTGTTTTTAAAGTTTGTTCTTTGTTTGTTTTTAAAGTTTGTTCTTTTTGTTTTTTTTTAAGTTTGTTCTTTGTTTGTTTTTAAAGTTTGTTCTTTGTTTGTTTTTAAAGTTTGTTCTTTTGTTTGTTTTTAAAGTTTATTCTTTGATTTAAAATTAGTTTGTTCTTTGTTTGTTATTAAAATAGTTCGTTCTCTGTTTGTTTTTAAAATTAGTTTGTTCTCTGTTTGTATTTTAAATCAGTTTGTTCTCTGTTTGTATTTTAAATGAGTTTGTTCTTTGTTTGTATTTTAAATGAGTTTGTTCTTTTGTTTGTATTT